TGAGAGGATTGTCTAGAAAAGCGGTATATAAGTGTAAGCAATTATTATTATTATTATTATTATTATTGCTTGCTGGGATAGGCTCTGGCTCACCACAAACCTGAATTGGCTAAAACAGAATGGATGGATTGACAAATTATTTATGTATCAACTACTTATGCATGTCAACTTCTTTGCTAAAGCTTGGCAGTGTAAAACCAGCATGCAGCATAATTATTACATTTCAGAGTAAACCTGGGCATACTGCTTTTCACAGTTTGAGATATTTTGTGGTGGCTCTTCTAGTTCTTTGGACCGCTGGAAATATCAAAGAGCTAAAAAGACTGCTTTGAAAGAACAGTGGTGGTGAGAGCCTTAAGAGTCCTAGGGACGTCACTTTCAAGGCTAGACCCCAGGAAGGCTTCTTTTCTGTTGCTAGGTAACGTCACCGGGAGAGGCACACGCAAGTCACATCTCCTTTATAGAGTAGCAGCTCTTTGGGAATGATTTCCTTTTCAATTTCACAGGAAGGAGCACCCCTCCCCAACATGCAGAGAATGAGAGGGAACTAGGGAGAACAGTTCACTTGAAGAAAAGAAACCTGCTCAAACCAAGTGAGGGTGGATGGACAGGTGTTTTTTTCAGACTGAATTTAGTGTTGTGAAAGAAGATGGTCAAACCACAGTTGAAAAAGTTATTAGTATTGCCAACAGATAAACAGATACTTGTTTTGGGACTTGGTAATTATTCCTGGAACACAAATGTTTTTCAAAAGCAGGAATAAAGATGCAAAGCAACCTAAAGACAGATTCACACAAATATCCTATGCTAGTTTCATACATTGAAGGAGAACAGTAATATTGATTATTATGAATGTCAAGCATCCAAAAACAGTTGTGAAGACAATTAAATTACTTTCTCCATCAATTACAGCACACCCCAAAATAATTATTTATTTTCTCTAGCTTCCCTAGAAAGGTTACTATCTTCCACAATGCTATTTTTATCATAGAAACTCAAAGATGCCAACATTCATGGTGCAAAACACACAAAAATGGACACATCAAGGTAGTGATATAGACAAGTTTCAGGTAAGAGATTAATCAATTAAACTGTAGGCAGAGTAAAGCTTTACAGCCATTGCTTGACAATAATGGAAATTCATTATGTTCACCTGAAATTATTCTGTCATTCCACCGTTCATTAGTTCAGCAACTTGGAACATCAGACAAAAAATAATTGTTCATGCCTCCCTTCAAAGATTGCACACCATTTCTATTGCTTTTTATTAATAAAAACACACAGGACCTTTTACCTAATAGGGAAGAGTAAAATCCAAATTGAAACAGTTCTTTTATGTGTCCGTGTTTGTACAAGACTTTACAGCAGGCCCTAAAATAATCTGTGAGATCTGAAAGCCCACAGGGAATGTTATTTACATTCACGAGGCTTTCATGCAGAAATACAATCTCCTCTAATTTTACAAAGAAACTCAAATTTAATTTGATCTAGTCTCCGCTTAAGTGATTTCCATCCTCGTACATTTTTCAAGCTGGTTGTTGTAGTCTCTGGAAACATAGCAGAAGGCTGAAGTCCCAGTAAAAGGACTGTACATACTGACGCATCTTGCTCAAGCCGTTTGCCGGACAGATCCATTATGTAGGTATAACTTTGTGTTCTTGAGCCAATGAGTTCTGATTCTGTTTTCCCTTTGGCAACCAGCTCTCCAGACAGGTAGACTCGTCGCAAGGAATAGTGATAAATTAATCCATGCAAAGTTTACTGGTACTGCAGCTTTTCATCTGAGGATACAGGTAGTCATCAACACCTACACCTACAGTATGCCTACTGTTACTGTCCAAGCCTTTGAGGTACAGATTACATTATAAACACTGAAACGTACAATCTGGAATGTGACTGGGGTCTTAGTTAATCCACATCAAATATATTTAGCAAAAATTAAATTATGCATAGTGGTAAAATAGGGGTTTAGTAGGGTTCAGTCTACCCTAAAACATACTCTAGCTGAAAAGTTTTCTAGACAGTGCCTGATACTTAAATTGTTTGCATACAGTATGTCAGACACTTTGACTATGCCCAATAGCTCAAGTAAAGAGGCTGCTCTCAGAAATAATTAATCACAATAAGGAGTGACTGTCCCTCATGAGACCAATGAAGTACTACAGCCCCAGAGATACTGTGTTGAGAGCTTGAGTTTTAAAAAAACAAATAATGAAAAAAGAAGATGCAACAAACTACATTTTATTACATAATTTTTAAAATGTAGATAAATGCAGATAGCTCAATACAGTACTAAATGTCATATGGCAAGATCCACGATAATACTCATCATGCTGAGACTGAATTTTAAAATGCAGGTTAGCAGTTAACCAGACTGTGAGACAAGGCAGAGAAGCACTGCACTCGTTGGCAATCAGCTTACATTGTGAGCATACAGTCATTATCATTCATTGGCAAAAAAACATTTCAGTACCAGTTTCAGAAGAATAGCTTCTCAATCCCAGCCAACACCTAGGAACACACAAAGAAATGACTGCAGTCTTCGCGGGGTTTAAAATCATAATAGATGATGAAGAGGATACAGTGGGAAATTGCATTTCTGTTCCCACACACAGAGCAGCTAAAAGGTTGATGTCACTATTTTAAACATAGTGAACATTTGGCAAGTAAGAATGGTGCTCTAGAAACCACAGTTTGGCCCTGGTGTCAAGCAATTAGGAGGAGGTTTCCAGAGGTCTGATCACCCTGAACTAGAGATGTATCCATCTCAAAAACCTGGCATGCAGGTTAGGTTTTTCAGCTGCAGTTTGAATGAACAGTACACCTTGTAAGAGCATTCACCCACTCTTCTAGTGAATCACAGCAATGGAATTTGAAGATGAATGTGAACACTGAAAAGGTCTGAGATGAGAAAGTTGATTCAACAGTCTTTGCAGGAGGAGAAGAAAACTGTCTCATGAATTAGTGAAGAGACAAGTGTAAAGTGCTTGTTTAACATGCACCTGGTCTACTGCAGCAACACAATGCTGAATATACAAAACAAATGATACTGTTTTCTCAGCAGGATGGCCATGCACATACAGTAGAAGTAATTCATAAGATTGGTATGTCTGTTAGTTGATTTTTAAAGACCCTGCTAGTATCTTGCACAAAAAAAATAATAAAATTTTTTTTTTCAAGGGAAGCATTACTTTTTCTTCATGCTTCCTTTGATAAATTTTACATTGTTTATATTGCTTTTGTTAAAAATAAAACCCAAATAGAAACAGTGCTTTTATCCTCAAATGGGCAAAACAGATCCCAATTCTGAACCTGCCTAGTTTTTATACTGCATATATACATTTCGTAATGATAAAGCATGTACTCAGACTTGTATAGCAAGCACATCTGTACATAATAGGAAAGACAGAAAAGAAAAGATAGGAAAGCCTGAATAGATAATTGATCAAATTTCTGACATGCAAAAACATTATGCTCCTTCTAAGAACATCAATGTAGATCAATCAGTTTCTTTTGGGCAAACTGATCATGGCATGAGGTCATGCTGCATTCTGGTGAGCAGTCATTTTTACAGACGTGCGTTACTCTCCAGTTCCGACTGACTCTGGAAAAGCCGCAGCATTATTAGAACAATAATTTGCCATGCCATTACCTACCACCTAATTGAGAAATTTAAGAAACCCACCTAACAACAGTTCGATTCACTTTAAAGAGTTTAGAGCTCCATTGATTCCACAGATGTAAAGGAATCAATGATGCCTGGAGAGCAGTAGATGACACATTAGACAGGTCTGCTATTGCTTTCAGGAATGGACCAGAGGCATGTTTACGAGGTGTTGTGCATCTCACAAACTCAAATGTATTTTCCACTTAGGAAAAGGCTTGGTCTGATACTGATCTCAAGTCATTGGGAACCATGGTACATACCACATGTTATGTCTTTCCCACTGTTTTAGGCAGGATAGGTCTCTTCTACTGAACACATCATTCTCTAATGTTTTGCTAGGCATTTGCTAGTGTGTTTTTGGTTTTGAAGAGGTCTGTCAAAATCAAACTTAAACAATCCTTAAAAAACGAGGAAGCAGATTCTGAACAGTGCATTAAAGGCTCTTCACAAATTGTAGAATTCAAGTCAAGGGATGTTATGTTAAAGAATAAATGTAGAATGCATTGCTAATATCCAAGTAATATCTCAGACTGCAATGTAAAATGATTTGTTACCAGATCTCAAAAGGGACACTGCTGCTCTGGAATCTCTCAAAACAAGTGCTACAACAATAGTTTTAGTCTGAAAGCAGCAGTAGTCAACTTTGGAACCTGGACTCAGCACATTGTGAGTCTTTCTTCCAGCTGATCCTTGTCACAGTGATCTACAGTACCTCAATTAATTAAGCACTTAAGGATCACAGGATCAATTCAGTGCTTAACGTACTGGAAAGTGCAAAGTCCTGTAATTCAGGTATCAAGACCGACTAGCCATGCATTAAAGGAATGTCTTAGATAGTTCAAAGGAAGTGAAACTCTCTGGCCCTGAACAAAGGGGAAATGATTCAGGTATTCAAAATCCTCAAAGACACTAACAAAGGAAGCGCAATGAACTTGAACAAAAACAATGTTCTTCAAGACCAACAGTGATACATAAGGACACACATGGTTACTAAAGTAAATTGCACTGAAAAGAGGTGGTGCTTTTTAAACCAAGGGTAGTGGGAGTCTAAATGGACTGAATGGCCTCCTCTTGTTTGTAACCCTTCTTGAGTTCAATGTGGTGACAGAGAAGCAATTACCAAGCTATACTGTAAATGCTGATTCATCACTGTCTTTCAAGGAAAGGCTTTGCAAGCTTCTTGGATCAATAACTGCCAAGCTGCACAGGCTGGTGTTTTTCTCTCAGTGCATTTTTCTTACATTCCTCTGGGCGGCAGTACTATTGCCAAGTTTGAAATGACCACAATTGACTGCCCAGCAAAGCTACCCTGCGTAGAACAAAAAGTCATTAATGATTCTTGATTGTTTTATTGACCTGATACAATCTCATTAAGGCAAGTGTTTACAGGCAATCTTGATTTGATATACAAGGAAACAGTCATACAGTAAAGGTACAAATATGGAATCAAATATTGGATATTGTGATACCGTTCAGGCTTTTTCCAAAATTTCTTGATACTGTACAATCTTGCATCTCTAGATGCATCACTTCCACTCTCTGCTTAAGGCACACACTGTGATACAGTCCAGAACATTTACTACTGACTTAGAATCCCCTTCTCTCCTGTGCTGCAAGCTTTAATCTCTCCCTCTGATATAAATCAACCCCTTCACAATGACTGACATACATTCACTCTCCCTGAATCAATACAGAATATAGAAAACACATCCTTTTTTCCAGGCTAAGGTCAGGCTGACAGTTTAGTTCACAATTTCCCTTCATCAACTCCATTGTAGGGCAAATATATCATCCACAAGTAACAAAGAACAACAAAATATATTTAACCTATTTCTTTTTGCACAACCTATTTCTTGAATATGCACAATCCTTATATTTCCTACTGTTTATGTACTAGTCTCGATTTAAGGCTTTCAAACAATTTTGAAACACAGTACACATTGTGCATGGCAAATAAATACTTTAATTATTTCCCTTTAGAAAGCTACTGTCCTGCTGCACAGAAACATTAGATGTGAAACCACTAATCAAACAATCAGACCCAGGACCCAAGAGATGTGAGACATCTGTCAGGCTTAAGGGGAAGTTGTTAACTGGCACTTGCAAAAAAAGCAATTTTCAGTGCATTAGCATTTACAGAGAAGAATAGATGGTGATTCAATAAATGACTCCAGAAGAAAATAAAAGTACAGGAAACAAAATTAGGGAAGATATACAAATGATTAACTTTAACAGTCTGGGAAAAAGCTAATGCTTTAAAGTTGAAATAATTTACAAAAAGCCCTGTTGTGGGATCCTAACAGTACTATAGTCCATAAACATTATCAGGATGCAAAACAAAACAGCATGATCTGCTGCTTTTAGCCTATAAACATATCTGTTTGGCAGTCAAACTTCAGAAACTTTCACTTAACCTAGAGTACTCTGGAATTCTTGATACTATAGCAACTTAAAATCTCCAATCTATTATGATCCGAGAAAACTTAGCAAAGAAAAATAACAATAGTCAGATTAAGACTTCAGATGTAATAAAACACTAAAGACTGAGGCTGCACTTATCAGTTGGCAGTATCACAGAGGTCATAAATCGAACAAGACAGCAAGTCTTGAGCTTAGACATGAATCCAGTCACACAAAGCGTGTGGGGTGAGGATTTCTCTCCTAAAGTTATCAAAGCTGAAATCAAGAAAATACTGACCCACTCACGCCTCTTGTGACTGTGCCTTATACACAGATTGAATTTTCAAGCATAGCCAGTTGTATCTTTAACCTTTCTCCTGAGCAGGAGGCTTCCAACCCATACTTGTGCTATTGAACAGTTTGTGATATAGTACTGCATATCAAATATAGTGGACTGAAGGTCACTAGCAGGAAGTAAAACTCAGTTTAGCAAAGCAAATTCAAACTACTCTCCTACTAAGTTTTCTGGTACTATGTAAAAGCACGTTGATATTTTTCATTTATTGTACCTTGTCATTTAAAATGCCCATACTTTGACAGATAACATTTTTATATCATTCTAATTGTTGTTATACCCAATTGATGTGGAATAACCAGTTGTGTTTTGCATGTCTATGTACTGTAGCTATGAGCCTTGTGACCGTACACAGAGCAACAAGAAAGTGTAGACAGAACACCTTCAAGACATTTGTTAACAGTGCACAGGCCACAGGGCTCCAAACTTGAGGTCAGCACGAACTGGCAGGCCTCACCAACACCACCACATGCCTGCAAGTGGCCAATAAGCTCCAGTTGGCAGTGTGTTGCTGAGAGTTTAGAGAGCCCTAGTCAACTATGTCACCTTACCCTGCTGCATACAGCCATTTGTATTGGGGAATCATGGTCGTAGTCAGCCAGTGACATGGCTCTGGCTCAAACCCCTGAGCATAAAGGTCAACCTGCACTTGGGCGAGAGCCCGGTTGAGCCAGTTGGGAGGGCTCTGTAGGTATATTCCATCCATTCATTCTCCTTACTGCTTAACAGGTTTCCAAGGAGTCTTTGGGCTGTGGGAAGAAACTCACACAAATATGGGGAGAATATACAAACTCCACATCGATAACACTTCGGGTCCAGTACCGCGAGACAGCAATGTTAACCACTGCACTGCCCCTGTACGTAACTGTTAAGTGTAAAAAGGAGATCCCATCACACAAATGCCTGCGATTACATTTAGCACTGGTGTTTGACATTGTACGAATTATGTTTCTTAAATCTAAGAGTATTAACACAGGAAATTGTGGACAACATTTTTCTATAACTATAAAACAAGCACTCAAATGTTGAAGCAAGTTAAGAAATGCAATATTACTGTCAAAAATACTAGAAAAAAAGTATTTATATAAGTGAATACAACATTAATGTTCCTTCAAGTTGATTTCTAATTACAATGAGATTTAATCTCAAATGCAAGCATATTTGTGAATTTAACTGTGAAACTGAGGAGAGCATTTACAGTATGTACAAAGTGCTCCATGTGTCTAGGATTTATCTGTATGTTCCCTCAAAACATGTGTCCTTCAAAACATGTGGAAGAATATGGAGCCCAGACTTCTCCTTAATATCTCTGTACTTTCTAAAGCTAAAAGCAGACATTCAATCACGAAAGTCCAGGTAAAACATTAGGAACTGTACTACTATGAGCCTTCCAGAAGATGGCAGTAGACAATGAAGAAAAAGCTTACTTTTTATGAACATTTTGTTAGGATGGCTAGCTTTTTTGAGGGCAGAGTAGGTGGACTTTATCTACATATTAAACATTCTGTTGCCCATGTCATTTCTTTAATTTCATTTAATGTCTTTCAATAATTTCTTTTTATAAAATAGAAATGTATAGGCCTCAACATACTCATAACACCAATGCATTGTTTTAGTCCACTAGTAGCATGTTTTAAGACTAATGTCAAATCTGTCAAATTAAATAGTTAAAGTATAGAATTAGTCAGATGCAGAAATGTGTCTCTGACCTGTGAAAGAGTTACCTAATTAAAGAATTGTGTGATAAGTATCTTTATTCCCTGATGCATTCCAAAATCTCTTTGTGGTGTATAAAGAAATTGTAATATTAACCAAAATGCTGCTTGTGCCATTAGCCTTACTCCCTGTTCTGTGCAATATGCAAGCATGGTGAAGTGTGCATGGAAAGACAGCTATTTCTACAGCCAAAATGCTTCTTAGGAGAAACGCAGTTTGATCTTATATTTACAATAAAATGCATATTACCCCACATTCTAGCCAAGTTGGATGTTTTGTAATAACACAAGAGCAGTAAATTGTGTTGTATTGGAAACGTGACAAAAAACACTCATTAGAAATGGAAATTTAAGAGGTCCAAGAAGAAAAGTAAAATACAACAAAATTATAAGAGCGCATATTGTGATAATGGCCACTTTTTTAAACTGAACAATGTCCTATTAAGATCACTCTGGGCCTACAAAATTCACTTCACTGGCAGATCTGTTTGATCTCTGTGGCTAAGTGTCTGCTTTCCCAAACACCTCCGTAGTAAGAGGAAAATGTGTGGGAACACTGAGGCCAGTTAAGCACTTCACAAGCCTCTCATCCGTTTTCCCCCACATTCTGATGTCCCCCAGTCAATGTGACTGCTCCCTTGAGATTTGGCACGATTCTGTAAATCTTCTCTCTTCTAGGGCTGAATTGTACATTTTAAGCAGCTGCAACGATCACAAAATAAAAAATAAATCTTAACAATAAAATAAGGAAAAGTGGCTTCTCTCTTTTTTTTTGGCCTAAGTGAATAAATCAGTCCCAGTTTTTCTTTCACATTAAAAAAAAAAAAACAACTTAAAAGTGCCTCCTCGTATTGGATCGGAAATAGAGGAAGGCAGCCACTGCGACTCCTGCTGCCGAGATGGTCAGGACGATCCACATGGGAATGGGGGGCTCCTCAGGTCTGGGTACCACAGGGCCATTCGCCGGCGCTGGAGGCTGTGGAGGTGAAACAGCCAGCTGTTAGGTATTCAACCCTTGCAGAAACATTTTGGAAACCTTAGATATTCAAGCTAACAAAAACGTTTTTGCAGAAATCTCTTAATCAAGACACTAAACGGTGATTTCCACTACACCCACTAAAAATCCCATGGTCACTATTTGAAATCACAGGGGCGCTCACCCAGGTGTCCTAGCTCATGTCAGATTTATGAAATGCCCGAATTATCCCGTTGGGGCAACTGTTGGGGTAATTCTTCATTTTGCTGGCCTGCCTTGCTATGCCCTTGATGTGCTGATGCGGAACAGCAGTCATTTGTCTCGCCACTACACAGGGACGTGCACATCATGGACAATGACATAGTCCCTTCTTATCTTTAAAACACTTTTATAACCTTTGGAATGACAATATAAATACATAACATTATTATTAGAGTTATTGACATAATGCTGATTTTTTTATTCTCTTGCTAATCATCTCTATAAGAAGTGGGGTAGGGATCTCCCGAGAAGTGTAACCACAAAAGGCATCTGATTAGAGTGGTTGTGGAGCAGGAATCCCTGAGGAGCAACACACAACCAGAGCCCCTGTTGGTGCGGGTGGGAAGAATTAATAATGGATTTCTCAGCTATCCAGGAAAATGCATCTCCTGTGACTTTCTGACTTTTCTTCAGGTTTGAAGAGAGATCAGTGTGGACCTCTAACTTATGTGCACATCTCATTTTTTCCCCGCTTACAGGAGTTGTAGCTTTAAAATCTACAATTCCATATTTCCAACTGGGTGAAAATAAAATTAACAGGCATTTACCGCTTTCTTTGGAATAAAAAAAAACATTTTCCATGACATGTTTCAACAAGCACCTTGCCTCTAAATAGTCTGCTATTAAGTGTATAAGTGTACAGAGCAGAGGCTGAAGCTGGGTACAACAGCACAGACACGCTCTCCGGTGTTGCTGTAACTTGTTAAATTAGCTAGGGCCTTTTATGCCTACGGCTGAAGACTGCCGTGAGAGGCCTCCATCACTGGAAAAAATGCATGCATAAGGGGAGCAATTCCTAAAGCTGATGCGAACAGGACGTGACGTATTATGTAAAAATACAGGAGCAGGTCACATAACCAGGAACTGAGTGTCACTAGTACCCCCAGATGGCAAGTCTCAGCATCCGTTATGGACTGCAAAAGGAAAGAGAACGGAGTTTGCAAGCATCAAACACAATAGCAAAGCTGACCCTATGTCACAGGGATAAGATACCGTTTAAAAGGGGCCTCCAGTTACATGGACAACTTAACTAAGGTTTTGTTGCTGCTGTTCCTATCCTTGCAGAGCAGGAGCTAACTCTTATCAATACAAAGAAATCCTGAACAGGCGACAGACTAGCAAACCTCTCAAGACGATCTAAATATTTCCTCAGAGAATGAGATCTCCACACCCATAGCCTTCAGCACTGGAAAACTACATTAAGATTTTCAAAATTCTACTCTTGATAAAAATGTCTGCACTTGAAGAAACTTTCCTTTAGCAGCACTAGATCATGATGCCCCTTTTCCACAGGCGCAGATAAGCTGCGAATGACTATGGGTGGCAGCATCAGCTCCAGAGCACCAGGGGCTAAGCGCAATGGCGTCTCCTCCCTCTGGTCAGTCCTCTGCCCCACACCGGTACTCACCCTCTGTTGCACCCGGAGCAGCACGTCCTCCCCCGCCGTTCGGAAGAGCTCCACAGCCTCGGAGTGAGACAGGTTCTCCAGCCGGCGCCCATTAATCTGCACCATAGGAGGCAACGGGTGAGCAGCTGGGCCACGACAGATGCCCCATTTGGTTAGCAGACGCAGTGTGGGATGAGCTCAAGGGTGAAGCACAAGAGCAGAACCCACAGGAGGGGCACAGGTGACACACATGGCACCTGAAAAGGAGTCTCCTCTTACGTGCACTGTATCTAAGACGGCAACAGGAGAACCTTATGACAATCCCAGCCTCTCCCCTCATTTTTCTATTTGTACCTGACTATTTGAAATGGATGAAACCAACATGTGAATACATCTTACTACATGACAAGAAGGTTCGGTTCACCGATGGTACAATGAATACTAAGAGAATGCAGTTCCAGTTCCTCTTGACAGTTTTCCCAACAGAAACAACTGAAAACAACAAACAGATTGGAAAATGAAATCGGAGACAGAGCATTATCATTTTTCAGCTTCCACCTTTTAAGAGGCGTCTGCCTTGGTTGAAATGTGTTGAAGAGGGGGGAAATATTCGGAAATTCCTTTAAACTGGCTGGTTCCTCACTTATCAAACTGAAACTGAGGCATGGTCAGATTTCTAAAAAAATGTTTTCAAATGATTTTCCACATCTGTGCTGGAATTCCAAGAAATAAAGGCCAAAATAATACACAGCAAATTTACACTACTGTCAGAAAAACAGAAATAGACATGGCAAAATTTCTAAAACATACTCACAATTATTAACAGCCAGTCACAATTCTGGATTTAAAATGCTTAATCCTCTTACGGGTGTACAGGACTGTCAATACAAAAAGACTGAGGTGTAGCTGCTACAGCATACGCCCTGCCAAGCCACACAGCTGGTCTACATGGGTGTGTCTTGATGCTCAGACAGGAACTTCAATACAGAACGCCTAAAATCCTCAGCTAAGATACTGAATTTCTCACTGAAATGGTAACAGTTTTTTGTTTATAAATGTATTCAAGTATTACAGTATTTATCCATTTTTTTTGGAAGTAAGAGATACTGATAATAAGCCTGCATTTGCTTTTACTGCACTGTTGATACAGATTTTGAAATCCTTGGCAACTAATTCCTGCAGTGCAATGTTTCAAGAAAAGGCTTGATGAATTCCTCAGACCAATGAGCTACCACCTGCCAAACAGGCTAGATGGGCTAAATGATCTCCTCTCATTTGTAACTGTTCTTAACCACTTGCCTGATTCACCTACATTTGACAAACTACAGTTTCACTGTAGGCAGACATGTAATTTCTATATTTCAAATATACAGTAGGTGTCAAAAGTCTACACACCCTTATTGAAATTTCAGTTTTAGTGGATGTTAAGGCTGAAAAAAAAGACGAATCACGTCAGACCTTACTAGTATTTACTGAAAGGTTGCCTTTAAGAAAGGGAAAAAAAACAGTGTTGTAGATTCGACTTCGACTGCTGTATCAGGGCTGCTTTTGAAACTTAAAACAGTGAAAAACTGTGCTAACACATTTTCTTCCATGAGCATTTTTTGCTTTGAATGGTGTTTATCTTTAG